CTAATTCTCTTGTAGTCTCCTAATTCAATTTAATCTCCTCATAGTACTTCTTGGTCTGGTAGGTTTCTCAATAATTAACTCCTAACGAGATTAATCACCTAACTAGCTTGGAGTTTGAATTTTCAAAACTAATCTTATCCAGAATAGTCACCAAAAATTTGCTTGGTGTCTTCAATTTACAATAGTAGACCGACATGTGCTCCATGCACCTCCTAGAGAAATAGTGGGCTCCATGCCAATCTCATTTGACTCTTTGACCTCCACGTGGCATCCATGGCTAGTGGGCTCATGTGGGTCAAAAGTTCAAACATATGTCGGCCCATAGGGACACTACAAGTCCCTCAATGGGCCCCCATGTGGGTCACTGAGTTCTCTCCATATAAATTGCTTCTTACAATATATTAAAAAATGCCAAAGTGCCTATGTTGTAAAACAATAGTTTTATTCCAAAAGTAACCTTGTTTTAAATACAAGAAAAACAACACAATATGCCATAGGTTGTCTTGTATTAGTATATCCATTTCTCGATTTGTGCGTGTCATCCTTGCGCAGGGGCCATGTTAATCTTCTCTGTATCGTTCCTTGTCCTGTATTAGTATATTGGCTTCTATTATCCCTTATGCCTTCACAATCACCTCTTTTGCCAAATCCATGACATTGTTTATGTGTCCATTCCCATAATGGGCTTCTCTTTGCTATCCAGAACAAGCACTAAAATGAATAGGTACAAATCTTACGGAATGACCTTTTCCCTTGGAGTTTCTAAACTGTTTATGAGGTTCCCCTGCCTCAGAATTAAGCATCAATTGCAATTTGGTTTCTAGCCATATTGACTTTGTAGGATAAGCAAAAGTGATGAAAATCTACCCACCCACCCTAATTGGTTTATTTTTTCGGTGAACTAATAAATTGTCTTCAGAACCAAGCTACTGATTCGCATTAATAGTTGTTAAAGCTTTAGCTTTCTCCATCATTTATTTAACCATCCTTTTTTTTGGGTTTCCTTGAGTGCAAGGTTGGTTTAGCGTACCACACATCGTGTCCAAAATAGTTTGGTGGTTTCAAAAACCAATGGTTCTCCCAGTTGCAACATAGCTTTGCATTGTTAACCACAGTGGCCACGCCTACAAAATATTTTTTGCCATAACCTCTTTCAACTACTATCCAACAATCAAATTGTTCAAGAAACAGACTGTCTGGCGCCTAGGCGCTGGAAGGTCCTTAGGGCACATGCCTGGGCACATGCCTAGTACCTGGGCTCCCACCTAGGGGGCCGAGGCGGACGCCCAGGTATTAGGCCTATTTTGTTGTGAATAAAGTGGCCCCTAAGGGCACTTTGGCTCAAAATTTCGTGATGAACGTTAGGGTCTTCGAAATCCCTAAAGTGAGAAGGGGGGAAAAAAAAAAAACGAATTTAAGCCGAAATTGATTGATTGATTTTGATATTTCTGTGGATCGAAAAATGAATCTGATGTTTGACGAAGCATCCTCTTGTATTGGATATTTGGGCTATTGGTTTTATAATTCTTTATTGTATTTTGTGATCATGTTCATGTGTCAGTATGGAGTATACCATATTCAGTTTGGTTGGATACTTGGAGGCTGGTGCACTATGGCCTTATTATGTTTTTGACTGTTTTCTCTAAATTTTCGATTATTTGAAGTTTTGAATTTTTTCAACCAGTGTTTAAAAAAGCAGATCAGTGACCCAAATCGGTCTCACCCATACCCATGTCGGATCGGTTGGTACGGTTGATCGGTTTGGAGAATTGGCCGAATCAGCAAATTTTGTCCCAATTTTTTTTCAAAAAATCACTATAAATCTCTAAAAATAGTGTTCTTTTAGTTTCTAAAAGAAATTAGGAGTGGTGCATTATGTACTTTCATTACTTTGTGAAAATAGGTAAATACTGAGACATTGTTTTATTGTCTGGATGTTTGTATAATTATTCATAACAATATAGTATTATAATATTGCATCAAAATAAGTTAAAAATATTAGAAAACACATTCATATTATAAGATTTAAAATAATAATTTCCCATATAAAATGAAATTAGTATCACATCAAAGTATAAAATATTTATTAGTTCGCCTACTCATCCAAAATTATAACAACCTAACTAACTATAATCTTATGTATTGAAATTGAAATTGTCGGTTTAATTTTATAATTATTTTTCTATACAAATAATAACAAATCTAAAACTTTTTAGAATATCATCTAGTTAAGAAATCTTATTAACAACTACAAGAAAATACATAATTTGTAATGCAAATAAATTAATTAATAAAATACAAACTTTGGTTATCCATGCATAATTATTTATTATAATATTATAATAAATATGATTAAAAAATTATTAGAGTGCGTACTAATTTTCAAACTAATACTTTAATTTCTCAAAATTCTAGTTTTTTAGGTTCCTGGAACAAATTTAGTGGAAGAGATTGTTATGAGAGAGAGAAAGAGAGAGAGATTTCAAATGACCTCATTGTATGAATCCTATCTTCAAAGTAATATTCCTAAATTTATATTAAAGGCCACCATATTATAAAAGAAATGATATAGTTAGACTATTTATCCCTTGATCAAGAAAAGTCTAACCAGAGCATTGATATATGAGAGAGAAAACTAACATACTCAATTCTCTCTCATGCTACAAGTATTGATATATGAGAGAGAGAGAACTAGCCATCAGTAGGGCGTGCCATCAAATATCCTTATAATAAATTGTAGGTAAACTTTGGTTGATACAAGCAGGTCAAGTGTTCAAAAGAGAGAGAGACAAGTAACATGCTCCAATGACTCGTGCAAGGTGAGTGGGACGAAATTAGTCCCACATCGAAGAATGAGAAAGGTTCTATGTGTATCTGCATTACTTCGATGGTGTGCATGCATGAAAAGCGTGCGAGACAACGTACTTTTGGTTGGTAGGGGGACATGGAGTTGTCAAGACTATTGAGCACAACAAGTATTGTTCTTTGCTATCGCCCCAATTTTTAATAAAAATTTAAAAAATGCCCGAGTTTAAACAAAAAGCAAGGTAAATGGGTTTGATGATGTCACTAATCGATTCGATGATGTCATAGTTCGTGTACTTGGCGATTTGTGATGTCATGCTACTGATTTACTATAGGCCGGATCCCCTTTCTTTACAGATCCGGGACGGGTTGGACGATATCCAATTCGGATCGCCCAATTTTAGATCAAGGCACCGAATTTTTAAACACTGGTTTCAATATCATGTGTATATATTTGCATGGAAAACGTTATATGAAATACATATAAATGCAAAAAAAATACAAAATTACCACTAATATCTGCATATATGTGCTTTCGAACAGTACATATATGCAATTTTTTACCTCACGGAACCAGAGGTTCTGGCCACCCGCCTAGCGCCTGGGTAAGGCCCGCCGCCTAGTGTTTTTTGAAATACTGCCAACAAATAAACATAGATAGCCTGTGTCTTCTGATTCAACAGATTCATCGTGTTTCCAAGCATCATTCTCAAAGGACAAGTAACAGTAAAGGCAGTGAGGTTGCCCCTTTCAAGTCCAACAATTAGCATTATTGAAACCTCATCTTTTACCTTTGTTTTGCCTGTTGGAAAAATATTTTCCCATTTCTGCTCAATATTTCAGTAGTGGCTTTGTAGGCTCATGATGATTTAAGGCTTCAACCCTTAGACTATACTGGCATGCATCTTTAAGCGTGTTTGGGAGTTATCTAAGCTGGTCGAATCATATAGGATGACTTCTTGATAAAACAACTAGGTTGTACTTCATTATCCGTCCCTATTATTCCTTTTCTAAATTTGGTTTTTTATGCGGTTTGGTGTATTTTTCAAACCAAACAACTCTGTACCTGCTAGTTGCCGACTATTACTCACATGTTTCACTAACATTTCTCCCCCATCCTCTTCTTCAATATGTTGACCTTCTCAAGCAACTTCTTGAGCATAGTTTCTTCATACTTTTCTGGAGGATTGACGTCTAATTTGGCCTCTTGCAAGGATTTCACATTCTACAACATGCACCAAAACTCAACATTTTGTTAAAATCTTTAAGATAAGGGTGATGCCCATGCTTTCACTTAGGATTGGAGATGATACTCTTTCTTTATTTTGATAGAAATATTAATAAAAAAAAGACAAAAGGGCAAATGTCACTTGTTTGTACTTTTTGAGAGGCATAAAATATTATCCATCAGTCCCCAAACCTACTTTGTGCAGAGTCTTTTGTGGTATAAAACCCTAAAAGTAAGGTTTCTGTCCAACTTCTCTAACATATTTGTATGTCTCCATGTGTGTGTTTTCTTCCACCCCCAACTACTGAGTATCCCAAGAGTGCTCCTGAGATTTCCCCCGTGAAGCACTCCTTGGTAAGCCTCCTTGTAACCAGGTGCATTCTTGTGATTTTGTTGTACTCTAATGATACTTGCATAGATCAACGCTTTTTTGTGATAGTTTATTTAGAAAAAGAAAGCACATGAGATTGAAATATAACATGGACTGATGTGGGTAGTTTGCTTTGGTGTCACTACCTAAATTTTGATGGTATGCTTTCTGCATTTTTCTTTTATTTATATTTGTAGTCTTTATGTACTTCATGCTTTTAAATAAATGCTTTAAGATATCAAGATTTAACTTGGAGGAAAGTGATGGCCGTTGCCATGTATCTAATAGCTGATGCTACCATGATAGTCTCCTGTATTGGAGTCAAATGATCTATAAAACTGTTTGTTTCAGTAAAAGTTGAAGTTGCTTTCTGAAATTTCTTTGATTGTCATTAGACAAATTTTTTTTTTCCTTTTCTGAAAGAATTATGACATATTTGTTTGAAAGAGTTGTTGACTGTTAGAGCAGTTTTTAATAGCTTTACTCTGAATTATATCTTGAAGGAGGTGCCATAGTTCCTAGCACATGGCCTTTTATAGCGAGAAATTGTAATATCTTCTTGCTTCCTCATATTGAAGTGATTTTGCAATATTGCAGTCAAGAGAAAGTCAAGCCTGAGAAGGAGCTTAAACGTGCAGAAGATGAAATAGTGCGCCGCAAATTGAGAATACGTGATTTATTTCAACATCTTCAAACATTATGTGAGGAGGGAAGGATTCATGAATCTTTATTTGATTCTGAGGGGAAGATTTACAGTGAAGATGTAAATTTGCTTTTGTTGCCTATCGCTTACATCTTATGATGTATAGTTTAGAATTGGATGCATGACTAAGTAGATTCTACTACTTTTCGTGCAGATTTTCTGTGCCAAATGTGGCTCCAAAGATGTACCTCCTGATAACGATATCATATTGTGTGATGGTATATGTAATCGAGGCTTTCATCAAATGTGTTTGGTACCTCCTCTATTAAAAGAACAAAGTAATGTTCCTAAATCCTTAGCCGATGACTTTTCCAAATGGAAACTAGTGGTTCTGTCTTGACTTATTCCATTTCTTCTTTTTTGGTCCCTTGGTGCAGTTCCACCTGGGGATGAAGGTTGGTTGTGCCCTGGATGTGAATGCAAAGCATTTTGTGTTGATTTAGTTAATGATTATCTTGGAACTGACCTTCTCATTGAGGATGGTTGGGAGGTGAGTCTCAAAATCACGGGGTATTTGTGCTGTAGGGTTTCAAAGAATGCTACATTAGTTTTAGTGCTTCCTTCCTTTAATGGTAGTCCAATACTGACGAATTAGTTACTTCAAGGTTTTTCTCATTTTTAATCTCGTTGCTTGCTTAACTTTGCTTTGTAGAAAGTTTTTGCTGAGGCTGCTGCCTTGGCCTCCGGAGACAAGCAGTACGATGATCTTGGACTTCCCTCAGATGATTCAGAGGATAATGATTACAATCCTGATGGCCCAGACATTGATGATGAGGCTCAAAACAGCAGCTCAAGCTCCGAAGAGTCTGATATGACATCTGGATCTAGTGATTCTGAAAGCTCATCGAGCGATGATGAGGCTTCCAGCTTAGATGAAGGTTCTGGATCATCCTTGCCAGGACCTTTCCTGTCTGCTGATTTGTCTCTTAATGGCTCTGAAGGAAGATCTAATCAAAAGAAACCAAGGATGAATTCTGAGCTTCTATCGATTCTGGAGCCAGAATCTAATGGGAAAGTTGTTTCCCCTCTACCAGGAAAACGGAATCGGGAAAGATTGGACTACAAGAAGCTTCATGACGTAAGTTTTGTTAGACTAACAAGATTGTTAAGCCTTAAGGGCTTCAAAGTTTTGGATTTGAATTGTTGGTTTTATATGTTGATAATTAGCTTCATATGTTCTGGGAACTGTCATGGGATTTTCTTTATTCAGTAGATTATCTTGATGTTTTCAATGGAAAATTTTGGTTTGCGCATGGCAAAATCTTTCTGGCTGATCTGGATTTCCTATAGTTCATTTAATGAATCAACATAGTAAAGCAGATATGTAGCATGCAGTCCAGCAATAGAAGATTATTTTTCTACATGTGTTGTCTTTGTGAGGATGCTAGCCCTTTTCTGTATTAACATTGTATGGTCAGCATGAGACGATGATGGAATAGGTTTTAAAACTTGAAATTCCTTTGAACTCGGTAAAATTTGATTCTTACCCAAATCATATCCGAACTGTCATTACACACCTGTATATGTATGTTATACATGCATATATATATATGCATGTGTCGACATCATTCTCGCTGCAACATAAATAGATCTCCCGAACACATAGCTAGAGATTTTTTTTCTTTTTTTTTTGGGCTGAAATTTTGTGCAATTTTTATTTGAAAATAATAAATTTCAAACAAAAAATTGTGAGCTCTTGAGTGCCTAGATCAACCGTCCAACAAATGGATGGCTTGTGTTTGGTGGACTTATTACTCGATTTTTTCTTTTTTATTTTGATAGCCTAGATTTGATTCACATATCTGCAAAAGTTTGGGCCCAATAGGCTCTTAATGATTGAAATGGCTTACAAGAAGTACAAATATATATATATATATATATATATATATATA